ATTCTGTTCTGCATTTTATTTACTCTTGGTCCAGATTTTGCTGTCTCGGTAATCATTGAGGGCCTGACAGTTGACATAGGGCCCTTCTTGGCTATAGGTTAATGCATTTGTGAGATGAAAAGGTATTTGGAAGAAGTGGCAGAGTAATTGCTCAAGCTTCAGAGGGAAAGATGTCACGAAGTTCATGACAAAGATTCACCAGTTAGTAGCACTTACTAATTTTCAAGTACCAAAAGCAGTTACGTGCCTTTTCTTGCTCTTACCAAGGCTATTTGCAATTGTTCTCTTTGCTCTCAGCTCATAGCAGCCTACTCTTACATAGTTTAGATTTCATTCACTTCACACTTTACTTTTGGATGTGCATTGAAATGTTGATTTTGATTTTTCTTTTTTTGTGTTCTGTGTCTTACCTGAAACAGCAGATATTTCTCCAGCATCTTGACTGTCAGTATGAGCTGTGTTTTACATCTTTTTGCTACAATATCTAGGAGATCAATACAATTTTCCTACTGGAGAGAATTGGCTCTTGTCTTTCTCTTTACTTACTCTGACAGATCTGGAGCCTGAAAGAAAGATTTTTTTTTTTAATTGTTTTGTAAGAGAAAGATGATTTGTAAAAATGTCATGTATTTGGCTGAGTACACATTCCTTAGCATTCTGTTGAAAAAGAGAGATACTATGTTACAGGGAAACCCAAGAGACCTGTAGCTATATATTTTTTTTCATTATGCAACATTTACTGGGTGGATGAGCAGGCAGATAGATAGTGTTGATTTTATGGAAGCTTTGTCATGGAGAAACCTGCTTTGGGACTTGACAAATTTATTCAAGTTTTTGTTTTTTGTATTTTACTGCAAGTAGTAGTTTGTCATTTAATTGCAGTATTAATGATGAATTTCTGAAGTACTTAGGCTGGTGGGAATTAACATAGCAGCAAAGCAAAACCACAGTTGAATCAATTCATGTGGAACAAAGTGAGAAATATTGCAGTTGCATAGATGCCAAGATATTACAGTTAAGCATTTTATTTTCAAATTGCCATCATAAAGCTAATGGAATTTCTTCATTTGTCCCTCCTATTGTTTATTAATGTTTACTAATAATGGTTTCTGGGGGTAAGGTAAAAGCTGATTAGACTATAGCATTATTTTCAATCTAGCAACATTCTGATTGTTATGTACAGTTCAGTGTCTCAAAACAATAAGAAATTTTGCTTAATTGTCCAAATACCCTGAGTGTGTTCTCAAATGAAATGCTACCTATGTCTGTAAAGGTCTGCAAATTGCATCATCAGATTGTGATCTCCTTTAGCACACTCATACCACTGTCTTGCTGCATGTCAGAATCCAGTGATGTTTCTTACCATTAAAACATTCTTAAAAGTGTGCACAAATTGCCTTTTATCAAAAAAAGTAGAAATACTGACAAGTACCATTTATAAAATTGAAAATAGATAAATAACAGACCAAATAGCACAGAAGCCATGTTTGTGCAGCATTTTTGTTTCATTATTGACTCGAGATACAGTAAGACCCTGTCTCTTTCATTTTAAACACTCCTGCAGCAAGAGCTCTAGGCAATTATGCAGAGCATATTGACTTCCTTCAGATGGAACAATTCTCCAAGGATGAAAATATCCCATTTTCATGCTATCGTTCAAGAGGTTACAGCCATATATGTATTTCCCTGGTATTTGATCATGATGTCTGCTGGTGTTCTCTTACTGAGACTACCAGCTGGAAGCTTAGGAAAGTAGATAAAACCTTTGTGGGGGGGGGAAAAAAGCAAACAAACCCCTAAACAAAAACTCCCAGTAAGAGGAGGAAGAGTTACAGGAAGGAAAGAATACGTAACTATAATACTGGGCACTGAAAAAGACTTCCCAGGGCAGTGGTCACAGTACTAAGCTGCCTGAATTCAAGAAGCTTTTGGCATTGGTCTCTGACATAGGCTTCAAATTTTAGATGGTTCTGTCTGGAACCAGGATTTGGATCTGGTGATTTTTTTAAAAATTATTATTTTTTTTTTTTTGAGGGTCTCTTTCAATTTTTGGCACATGTATAACAAGCTGTGGAAGGTGGGCAATACCAGGTTCCCATATTTTCTTCAGGCTGACTTTCACCAGAAGAGGGACATGGGAGAAAACATTCATACAAATGGCAACAATGGATAAAACAAGTAGTAAAGATTTGAGAAGATTTGGGGACTTCTTTTCAGAGTGAAAGATACTTGAGTTCATTTTGTATGGAAAACTTAGTGGTGGCTCATAAGCAGCCTTCATTCCAAGTTGCAGAGATGCTGTCCTTCAGCCAAACTCTACTATCCTGAGTTCCTCCTGAGAGCTTGTGCCTACAGTATTTTTTCCAAAAAAGGGAGAGAGCACAGATATGAGTATGAATCCCTTGTCTAACAGCAAAGCAGACTGGTGATGACATATGGCAAGGACAGGCTTGTCTGGGGACTGATCCTGTAGGCTGTGGTTAGGCATATCCCCAGAACAGCAGCTGGAGGCAGGCATGCTAATGCATACAGTGAGTTACTGCCAGAGTAATTGTTTCATAGGCTGCCTAGTAACTAGTTACAAGAAAAGATTTCCTATTACTAAAACAGAAGGAGCTCTTTTCTGAGATCTATTTATAGGGATGCTTGTAGCATTTCTGCCATGCTCTTGCAGGTGGCTTATTGATGTCTCATTTGGGCTTACTCATCTTCTTCCAAACCCATAGCAACAAACTGTGGAAAGGCAATTTCATATATGGTATGTGTGTTCCAGCAAGTGTCTGCCTCCATGTTACAGAAAAGGAAGCTTTGGGATACACTGCAGTTCATCCCCATTTTGGTGCATTGAGAGTTTTAGGTATTGGCTAACACCCAGCTCCAGTACTTAAGTGACATGAGCAGAATTGTCTCTGTTTTCATATTGTGCTGGAGAAGAGGTATATTTGTTTATTCTTATTCCTGAGTTAACAGCTGTAGAGCAGCCAGAGCTCCTTAATGCCCAGAGCTTGTTTTAGTCTCTTCTATGTGCTGTCAACCACTCAATAAATAATAAATAATGGCTGTTGACATCTCTTTATTGAGCTGAGCCTATAGCCCAATGTACATAGCTGTACATGCACATCTCCTTATATGGTATTAATGCTTATATAAGCATTAAGTCTTATGAGTGTCAATAAGTCCCTGGGACTCACCAAGTGAAGATTTGAATCCAGGGGAATATGACCACAGAGTTTGCCCTGGGTACATACAAATAAATTGATTAATAGCAGAGCCACCGTCTTCTGTTTGCTTGATAAATAAGTTCAGTCTTTAACAGTCCAAAAGATTTCAAGAAGATATGCCGTACTGCTTGCTTATGAAACATTTTCTGTTTTGTTGCTTTGAGTAAACACAAGTTGAATACAGAAAACTACTGCTGTGTTTGATAGCACCAAAGACTGTGCTAAAAATGCCTGGAGGGTCCCAACTGATAAGTTAATAGCTCCCAAGAAAACCCCAGCTGGTCTCACTGAGCAGAACAGTATCTCTGTCTCCACGTTTTACTGACAGGTGGGATGGAAGCCCTGTGTCACGCTCCCCATCCATATTTGTGAGAGGAGGGGACATCTGACCTGCTCAGCACACTGCTGGTACTGGACTGCACACACACAGCAGTGTATGTTTTTCCAGTGTTGCTTGGAAGCATCAGCCCATACTGCTCAGCCCTGAGCCCTGTATGAAATACACACATACAGGCAGAGTGCAGGATGAGGGAAGTCCAAAGGCAGAAGTTAAAGAAGAGTTGGTTGCTGCTGACTGACACACCAGAGGAAGGAAAATCAAAGAGACAAATGGAGAAGCAGGGAGATGGATGGGCTATGTAAGGGAAGAAGAATGAGAAAAAAGTTTAAGAGAAAAGAAACAGGGAGACAAGAAGGAGAGATCATAGAAAAGAGGGATGAGATGGGAATGAGCAGTAATGGGTGATGGCTGAGAAAAATAAGAGAAAGCTAAATGATTCTTTTTGTATCTTTGGGAAGGTAGGAGGGAGAATTTATTTTTATTTAAAATTTAAACACCAGTTTTAATCAAAGCAATTATTTTATTTATTTTAAGAAAGAGAGAGATGTCAAGGGGCTGCCCAGCACTTAAAAGCATGTTTTCAGTTCTTACAGATGCTAACTTCTCTGGAGATTTTTAGTTAATTTAATATTGGACTCATGGGCTGGCTCCTAGAAGCATCTTATTTATGGTGTGTGGCTTCTGCTCATCTTTTTTTGCAGAAGAGATTAGCTCTGCAGGATTTTCTTCTAGGCAGTCATAGCTTTTATTTTTCCTCTTTCTTTGACAGCAGTTTTTTTTTTTTTTGTTTTGTTTCGTTTTTGTTTTTTTTTTTTCCCCCTAAGGAACTATGAAATTGTTTGTACTTGTGATATTAAGAATAAATAGTCTGTGGATCCTTCAGAACCAGAAATCTACTGTATTGTGATTGCAAGACATGACTTCACAGCTTGATAATTCACTATAGTCATGTGTTCTCATGCTTCTGTGAAGCCTGGTAGACTGAAAACTTTTAAGCCTTCATTCAGTTAATGCCCCTCAACAAAGCCCTGTAAAATAAACTTTAAGAGCACACTTCAATTTCTTTGAAGTCAATGAAACCTAGAAAAATTCTGCTGAAAAGAGATAAAAGATTTATTTGGAAATAGAAGAGGTTGAAGTAAGCAGGGATGTGAATAAAAAATCTTATGTGCAAATCATTTCATAGGTACTCTTATTTAGGAGAAAAATGGCTGGAATCAGTTTAATATAATAGTAAAATCTAAGTTAACTTGAAGCTCCCTCATACCAGGAAAAAAAAAAAAAAACAACAGTTCCTTACTCTGCTGTATTTCTCACCATTTCTTATTTTGATATGCTTATGTTTTATTTAGGCCTATTATAGTTTGTTGTGGGCACACTATTCTCAGCAATGCTGGCCTCTTACAGGTGGATGTAATATAGTTTTATTCTCTTTACAGATGAACGTGATTACAAGCAGCAGGCATGCATCTCAGAGAATCCACATGGCATTGCCATGCTTCACGCTACTTGAGGTAAAACAAACTGTAGATAAATTGCTAAGTATTTGGGGTGTATTTTTGAAGGAAATGCTATTAGCAGCAACTGATTTATATTTATCAATGTATTTATGTTTATTTCAATATGGAGTGTTATCTGTTAGTTGACAATCTTTTTTTGCAGTTGTGAATAAAATTTTAGTCTCTGTAACTGTTTCTCAGTGCTTTTATGAGAGGCCGTGTGAAGAGGGGTCTCTAACTCTGCAATTTAATTTTATGTGAATTTAATGTTCTGAAGTTCCAAAATCCAACAGAGTGAAGTACCTCTGAGCTGGACTCTTATGGATATTGGTGGAAAGGACTTGTTAATAATGCTTCATCAGTATGGAAGGTGTTTCATTTATCAATCTTAAAGATGAGGAGCAGTAGAACAGAATGTTATAGTGGTTGTTCAAAGTCTTTCCGTCTGTAAGGAATGGGAGACTATAGCAGAAATGCTAAGTCACAACTTGAAGCAGTGATTGAGCACCTGGTGGGAAGGCAGGGCCAACCCAGGAGAGCTCAGGTGCATGCAATACCCCTGAATGACTAGAAGGGCTGAAGCCAGGATCCACCCCTTTCCAGACTTCATTTAAGGGCTGGCAGTGGAGGTAAGTGCATTTTGCTGGAGATCCTTGTGTGTGTGAGGCCTTCTGAAGGTAAACAGCTTCTTTGTTGCTGTGCCTCTGTGCTGTTGTGTTTGAGGAAGTCCTCTCTTGCTGCTGCCTAGGGCTTTGCTACTCTGCTGTCATCACCGTGCTTCCCATGGCATTGCAGTGTTACAGAGACATTTGGGAATAATGCATATTGAGTATCGAGCTCCGTTTAGAACACTTTAATCTTGATTTTATTTTTGAGACTATTCTCAACATAATTAATTAAAGCAGGCACAACCCCAATTGCATCTGCCCTGCAGTGGAGCTGGAGCTGCAGTACGGCATAGGTCTGTTGGGCTCTCTTTTAGCTGCTTTAGTGGATCACTCAGCCCCACCAAGAATTCAGCAGAACTTGCTATTTGTGGGGTTTTTTAGAGTGGCTCCCATGACTGAATGCCAACAGTTAACATAACTGTGCTAAAGCTAGCTTAGATGGGGTTAGATCCAGCAAAGGTATGGATAAGGATGCTGCACAGCCATATCTGTGAGTGTGGCCAGGAACACACTGCTTGCAAACATCTATGTGATGATGGCTGATAAAGCCCTTCAGTTCCAGTGGAAAATCTTATGCAAGCATTTAGATGCAGGTGTATTATTATGCTATAGTCACACAAGCTCTATGATATGAGGTAAGGAGGAGGGTAGCAAAACATCTACAACTAGTTCTGGGAAGCCAGCACTGGTTACTGTGGGATGCCCTGATAATACATTTTGAGTCATCTGGTAATCAGAGAAAGGATGATATCAATAACTGAGGTACAATACAGCAACATGCCGTGGAAAAGTGAGAGGCATAGACATTGTGACTTAAGTTGAGCTCATGAGATATTGGATGGATTATTTCTTTTTATCTGCACATTTTGAAAGTAGAAGTTGCTTCCATGTGGATAGGAAATTGCTTCATTGCGTGGTATTATTTCTGTCACATCACTTCAGCTAGTGTTGTAGCTTGGCAATTTATGTTCACTCTTTTCACGTAATGTTTGTGATCCACTGTGACACAAATCTCTGCGGATCCACTGGCTCTTTTTGCCTGTGCTATGTCACGCTGAGACAGCATCAGGGTGGGTGATTTCTATATAAAATTTAACTGCATTAAAAGATCCAAAAACCCGATGTTGTCATGATACTGTTACATAAGTTACATGTCATAGAAGCCACTGGGAGGACAGTAAAGAACATCCAAATCTATAAATGGGGGGATAAGGTGACATGATTTCTATTCTTGAATGTTGGAGGGAGCATTCAGCCTTATTTATGTTCTGCCTCATCAGTTGTAAAATCTAAAGAACAGTTCTATGCCCACTTCTGGTAAGATACACAGATAGAAGAGGAGAACAGGTATGTAGTAGCAGTACTTTATAATCATTTATTAGCATGGCTACCCAGGGTAGAAAAGGTGCTCCAGATGTGTATCAGCTACAATTCTTTCTTAAAGTATCTGGATAAGCTAAGTATGTACTATCTGAACACCTAAGTGTTGGATGATGAGAAGGAAATCTGTGACATGTCTTAGATTTTCTCTAAAAGTCTCATTGTGTGTTCCTTACTTCTATAGCAGAAGTTGTTAGCCAAACCACATGCATCAAAAACATAGTAAAGCAGCAATTATACTTCTGCTTAGGTGGTAGCTGGAGAGCAAAACAAGGTGTTGGATGAGGATTCAAGTATCCAAATCCTCTCTGCTGATAAAAGGGAACAGCAACCACCAGGTGCCAGTGGTGGTGTCTGTCCTTTGGTGGTGATTGTCTCCCTGTGGAGATCTGATTGTCTGGCAGAGAGATTGTTTACTTGCAGAGATGCATTAACAGCTAAGCTGGCTGTGTGCAGCTTCTCAGCCTGTACTTCAAGAGTTTTTTTTTGAGTGAGACAAAGGAAAAATTACTTTTCCTGGAAAGCTGTTAGCCTTTATTTCTTGGCAGTATGCTCCCCTGAGCTCACTGGCAGTGACAGGGAGTTAGCCTCAGCTACCTGCTCTGCACAATTCTACCCCCGGTCATCTCTCTGCCTGGCCAAGCCCTGGCTGAAGGCTACGTGAAAGTCAGCACGTCAGCCCTAGAAGACCTGAAGATGCTGGCTGTAAACAACAGCAGGGAATATTTACATTACATGTTAGTCGGGTTCTCTTTGCAGAGAAACATGTCTTTTTCATGAGCAGCCTGCAGGTTAGGAGTAAAAGAAAAGGTGAAGATGAGAGTGATTAACACTAGAGGAATGCCAAGTGTAGTGTTTCTCTTGCAACAAAGTAGAATAAGTTTTTTTTACACTTAAAGCTTGCTCTCAATCATTGGCTCAACTCTGCTAAGCAGTTGCATTTCAATGGATGTCAATAGTCAACGGGCTAACAGATGATAATGTACTTGTTAGAGCTATTCACTTGGTCTTTCTAGCAAAGCTTACTTCACAGTAGATTTTTTTCCCCTAATTTATTTCTAACCTAATGAGAAAAATAATCTAAAGATGTACAGAAACTTCCAGTAGTATGGAAAGCAGTCTCAACAGACTTCATTCTTCTGGTGATATTAAGCTCTACACCTTTCAGAATGTTAGCTTTTCTCTGCAGAGCAGTCTCAAAGCTATTGCTCTCAACTGTTCAGAAAACATCTGTCCTCTTCAACTCACAAATTTATTGAGAATGTGCACCTGGGTATTCTGTCATCTTTTCCAAATACCTTCATTAGCACTATTCAAAGCAATGAACCCTGCTTCTTTGCTTGATCCTAGTGGATGGAATTTGGAGTCTCAATCCAACTACTTAAGCTGGAGGAAAAAATATACATTCTGTAAGACTCTGAAAGCTCAAAAGCTGAATCTGTATGGCAGAACCTGAGCTGTGTAAACATTTGTTATTTCCTGTTATTGTCAAGAGCTTCTGCTAGTTCAAGGCATTATTTATGCAATCTCTCTTATCCTTATTTTTCTCTATCAGATGTTGAATTCCTATGACATCTTGCTTCATTATTTTTTTTCTTTCTAGCAATTTTCCCACTTAAAAAACCTATCAGATTTTGAAATTAATCTCCTCAAATCCTTGCAATATCGGAAGTTAGTTTCTCCAGCAGTACCAACTGATGACAGACTACCACTGTAGATTCCTAAGGCCAGTTATTGTCCAAGAGCACTCACTTTTCAATTTTTCTTTAAAAACAGGTTTTTTTTTTCCTTCTTAAAATGACTTTGTATCACAAGATGCAAACTTTTGCTGTTCTTGTAAACCTCTGTGATTTTAGGTTTAGGTATTCTTCTATGAAAAACATTAAGTGGTGCTATTTAAACAGAATCACACAATATCACAATTGATATTATCTTTTGTTTTCTTTTTCCACCTCCAGTTCTGCATATAGATGTACTTACTGAAGTTTTAAGAGATGTAATTCTTTCACCCTGTATTCACCTCTAGAAATGACCAAAATTACCTTTTTTGAACACCGGGGTTAGAATGTCTCTAACTCTGGCAATGGGCAGATCCTCTAATTTATGCATCTGTGAGACTGTTACTGACTTCTGTACTTCAGATAGCAGAGCTGTATTCATAAACTACCACTCTAAATTTTGTGAAAAACTTACCTTATTGCATAACAGACTTCCATCTTCTTAGCATGGAGCCCTGAGCTGTGCTTAGCTATGCTGATAGGTTTTGCGGCTTTGTCTTTTTTTTTCAGTCTTTATTGGGGAAGTGGCAATACAGCAGTGTTTGGGGTTTTTTGTGGCTTTTTTTTAATGCTTCTGAAGAGATCCTGGCTGACATTTCTCTTTGTCTTGGTTATGCACTCTGCAGGACTCCTTATGCAATTTATTCCCCATTGAACTGTGAGCTTTCTCATAGCTGAGAATAAAGATGACTCAGACAATTTATGGCTGATTCAACAGTAGGAGGTCAATCTGAGTTTCTCCTTTACCCTTTGGGTTCTAAGGATTTATTTTCTGCCTAAGAAGAGCATTATGTATCATATCTCCCTTGTGTAATTTTCACAGTCTATGAATTTCTTCTCTTTTTTTTTCCTGGGTTCCAATACCTAAGTAGCTTGTCAACAGTCTTAAAAATTACAGCCAGTAAAATGCTTAGCAGAAGATGCAGAAAGTAGTTGCATATGAATAGGTAAACTGCAGTTGTTGAATTTGTGGTGATGTTGAAATGCCAACAAAAGAAAGAAGTAAAAAGCATTTCACATCTTCCATCGAAGTACAGGCTTCAGAGCCACCACTTGTCAAGCATCTTTATTTTTTAACTTTTTAATATATCTTCTCTTTAAATCTTTAAGTTTTTGGTTTTTTTTCCCCCATTGGATGCTTAACATATTTCACTAAATATGTATATTAAAATCTGCATTTAGACTGTCA